ACGTAAGATTGCACATAGCTATTTTTTTTCCTGTTAGTATGACAGAGTCCATGCAGCTATGGAAAAACAAGATGGATTCTAATCTACTTTTTAGATCAGGCAGGAGCTAAGATCTAATTGCAGAATTGTTAGAAATGAAAATAAGTTTTGAACTAGGAAGATTACAGATATATTTTCAGATACTAGGCTGAACCTACAGAATAGGTAATTGAAATAAAAATGTAACAAATTAAAAAAGAGATCAAATTTATAACTCAGTGGGCATGTCTACACGTGCACATTTACTTCGCAGAACCAAAATTGCTGCACAGTAAGGGCACACATCTACATGTGCATGCCCATACTGCACAGTAAATATGTTGACTCACATCAATTTGAGTATAAATGTAATACCTGCATCATGCAGGTATCAAATTTACGTCCAATTAGTTACTGAGCAATAATGCACATGTAGACGCCTTACTGAGCAGTAACACTGTGTGTTACTAACTTTAGTCCCAAGTCAGACCACACACAGTGTTAATTTGCTTTATCACGTGCACATGTAGACACAGGCCTATTCCTGCTTACTGTGCAGCAAATTTAAGCCGGAATAAATGCACGTGTAGATACGTGCAGTGACAGTTTTCCTCCCATCAGGAAAGCCAAGTGATGGTGTATGAAAACTAGGGGTTTTTGGGCGCATGCTCCAGAGCCCATTCCTTAATATGAATGATCTCACCTCTTATAGAAACAATCTCTGAACTTCCTTTGTCATGAAATGTTATTATGAAAATTGTGTCAAAGCTGAAACCATGGGCTGAAAGTATTTGCAAAACTTATGTCCTTTTGGACCCTTGATTACTTCTGAATGTCCAGGTTGTAGTAGTGGTAAAAATGCTTTTTCTTCCCAATGTGAAATTCACAAAGCCTTCAGAACAATGCTTCCAAATTATTTCACTGCAGTAAACTTTATACCCGAGTTTGGTAGTTCTAGATATGACTATATATTTCCTTACTGGCTTTTTCTAAACCAAGAATATATGATACCTATTCTCTGAAGATTGTACTGACTTCCAGCTAATTTCTATTTGCAAATCAACATGTTGGTTCTCATTTATAGTGCCCATGTGGTTTGCGTCTTGGCAACCTTTCCTTTTTCCTCCAGTTTTGGAGACCACACTGACTCCAAGACTGGTAAAGAAATGCAGGATCCTTTGATTTCAGGTTGTTGGTTAGTGTTCATCTAGGCCAATAGTGACCCAAATTAATCACCATGAGAAACTAAATAATAAATCTATGTTCTATGAGAAATTAAATCATAAATCATCACAGTTTTCTTGCTGCATTTTTTTGGTGCTCAGGACATATCAAAGGAATTTAGAAATCTGTTTCTGTCTTATCAGATCCAAACAAAGATGCTTTTTCTACTTAATTATATTAGTACGCTTTCCTCACTATTTGTCTTTTCATCATGGCAGATCAACTGTAGCGCTCATTTACTCGTTTGGTTATAATTATATGATTGTAGCATTGTTAACATTGATAGAAACAGGGGGGTAAACATCCAAGAATTCAAGTTTTGTTTGAGTTGCAGCTTGGAAGCTGGAATGCCTCTCAGACTTCTGTGAATCTTTGACAGGATCATCAGTAACCTTGAGCACTCAGTTCCTGTCCTTAAATAGATGTTTTTTCCCATGTAACTGATGTTTCTTGTTTATGCTTGGGAAGTGCAGCTCCCTGCTGTCACTGAGAATGCTTTGCAGGAAGTGTTCTGAGTTAATCCCCAGACCAAACTGAAGTTCACTGTTGATCCCAGGGGGAGGGGAATCTATCTGCTGGCTGGGAGCTTACAGCCAGTTTTCCCTAGCAATGGCCCCCCCTCTCTCCCAGCCGGTCTGTGTTTCAGAATGGGAAGAGGGAAAGGGAGGAGAAGTAGCTCATTCTAGGGGTTCCCCTGCTGGTGCTGGAGGGTGGGGTGGGTGAATTGGAGCCTTCCCACTTCAGGGGGCCTGCATTACACCCACCCTACCCTCCAGCAGGGGCTGAAAAACTCCCAGACTGAGCTCCCTTTCCTCCTTCCCATTTTGAAAACAGTGACAGGCTGGGAGGCAGTGCAGACAGAAATTACTGAAGATGCTCTGTTTTGAAACATCTTCATCTGAACCTTATGCAATGAGGGTTCAGATTCTTGCCCGATCAGCCATTTTTTAAGCAGTGTGAAGCCATGCCCTTGTGTTTGGTCACGTCTGTAGGCTACTTTCTGTGGCCAGATCAGGTGAAAATTGTTACTTCCATCTACACCCTATTTGCTAGCTCTACTTTTGATGTAAAGGCAACTCAGCTCCAACCTTGGAATTGAAAAAGATGGGCAAATCCAGTGAACCATCTAAGACATTGTTTTCCAGGCCCAGCCTATTTTCTTCTCTCCTATATTTCCAGAAGATAGGGCAGGGGTCTGTACCTTACTTTTTTTCATCAGAATGTAAGAGGAAAAGCTTGAACACCTTGTGTTTCTTTCCAAGACACCTGCTAGACCCCATTTCCATGTACGGGAAATAACATTTTTGTCCATATTGCCCTTCTCCCTTAGGGTAATTTGAAGACAGTTAGATATATCAAAAGGGGAGATTTTTCTTTTCATTTTTCTTCAATATTACCATATTATATTTTATTTAAGGATTTTAACTCACTCTTCATTAGAAAAAAAAGTTACCTCACCCTCTCTCCTTGAAATTTCTCAGTAAGTTTTACTTTGTCCCAAAGTAAAGGATCTCCATTAAAAAGTTATGTGAACAGAAATAACATAGAAAACTAAAATCTTTCAAGTAAAAGATTAAAAAAAAATAAAATAACTAAATCATATTTAACTTCATAGCTCTATCCCTTTGGCATTCATTGCATTACATCTCCTGACTTTCATTTAGAATATATACAAAAAATAGGTTAAACATAATTACATAGGTTGCAAAACTAAATAGTTAAATATATTTTATTATGTTTTATAATAAAATATAATGCCAGTTACTGCACAGTCATTTAGTACTGCTTAAGCAAGTACTAAATGACTGTGCAGTAACAACTGTGCAGTCAGCCACTCTAGTAGATGCTGCCACTAAGCAGTACTGAGCTGTTGGGTCACCATGGTTTGAAATGTTGTCGACTTTGCTAGAGCCAAGCACAGTGGTAAATTATGAGCCTTTTGGCTCTGGATTAATATCATGCATAATGGGCACATCTACATATATTGGTGATGCAAAGGGGGTGCACGCGGGTACATGTGAACCCACTGAGCTTGGTGGCGCACCCCCTGCAGAAAGGTGCCACTGACACTGCCAGCAATGCCTGTGGACAGTTGCCAATCACCACCCCTTCTCCCCGCTCACTGCCGACACTGCTGGCAGCATCTGTGGGTGGTCCCCGATCGCCACTGGCCGCTGCCAACAATGCCGGTGGCATCTGTGGGTGGTTGCTGACTGCTGGTCAGCACTCACCATTCCCTGCCTCCCCACCACTGCTGACAGCACTGTGGCAGCCTGCGGGAGATCACCACTCACCACCACCAGGCTCCTGCTGCTGACAACACCACCGGTGCCTGCAGAAGCTTGCCATGCCCTCCCAGCCTCCAGGGGTATGTGGCATTCATGTCTACATATGCCATTGTGGTGGGGCAGCAATAAATTCAGGAGCTTTTGCTTATTGCTCCACAGTTTATTGCTCCCAGGAAACTCCTGGGTGCACAGTTTGCAGCAGCCCTGGCAGGCAGGTGGCCCAGCAGGTCAGCCTGCCAACCTGGGACTGCTCCAGCCAGACTCAATGTGCTGTGGACGGGGCGGGGGACTGCTAGCGCGCAACCCGGGGCCTCCCCCAGCCAGACTCAATGTGCTGTGGACGGGCTGGCTGAGTCATGAGGGTGCTTGAGTGCAGGGCACTTAAGCACCCTCATGCCCCAGCCAGCTCAGTTAGTATCTCTCACACACACACACACACACACACACACACACACACACACACACACACACACACACACACACACAGTCTCCTACCTGAAGGCAAGAACAAAACAAATTACATCAGCTGGAAGTCAGGACTCAAGAATCAGAATTTGTAAGTTTACTAAAACTTCAATATTTCATGGCTTTCCATGGCAATCCCTTTTAAAGAATAAATGGAATTGCACTATTTGGGGGATGCTGGGAAAAGAGATTTGTAGCTGCTTCCTCACTCAAATCACTTCAAATAGCAAAGCTTTCAGAGGTGCTATATAAAAGATACAGGGTTCAGACAATCCTGTGTGTTGGCTTTGGGGAAAAGCCAAAATAATGACATAGGCACTGCATTAACAAAAGTTCTGTACTGTATTGGATATATGCTTCTCATACTAACCAGCAATACAAGATTATTTACAATATAGACATACTGTGTGTTCATGGAGGGTTATAGCAATTTATTTTTCTTCCTTCTTGACCACAACTAACTATAAGATGCAACTCACTGCTTGTATTGATTTCAGTAGGAACTGTGAGGTTTCAGGCCTCTGAAAAATCAGGCTGTTTATTTTGGTGCCTTAACATGTGCCAAACTATAGGCCCCCATACTGAAGCATTTGGACCAGTTTAATTTTTTGTGTTTGTGCATGTGTCTCCAGCATTTAAGACTCACAAGTGAGATGTTACTTAGACTCTCAGACCAAAATTCCAAAGCTATTAAGGCATTGCTACACTCATTCTTGTAAGTAACTTGATGAAGTACTATTTTAGGAAGGTTTTACGTCCTCAGAAGCCTATGTCTCACTGAAAGTCTATGGGAAAGACACTTATGGCTAACTTCACAAAGAAACTCAATGCTAAACCCCAGAGTAGGTACACCTAATTTGACATAACTGTAAAGTTCTGCCCAAGAGGTAGATTCCACATTCCTTAGTTGTTTACCTAGGCTCCCATTCATATACAATATATGACATTATATGTATACTAATTAGCATATATATTTGTAATTCTGTTTTCCATTATCTTTTCTAGTCGAGCCGCTGGTGTAGTAACTGCCTAAGAAATAAATGCATTCAGGAAAAGTAGGAATCTCAACATAGGAATCACAAGAGGCAACAGCATAGGCAAAAAAGTCACCTAAAACTGCCAATTGGAATCGTTCTGTAGAGGGATGCATCTTAAATATTGTCTTTCTTTGCGTCTGAGACACCTTATTCTGGGATGGAAGATGGCGTTTCCTTCCACATAAATCATCTATTGAAGTTAAGAGCCTCAGGCCTTTCTTACAAGGTCCAATAAAGGGGTTAGTTCATTCTTCTAAATGTTTGTATTGGTGTCTTTAATTTTATCAGTAGTTTACTAGTTAGAAGCATTCAGCCAAAAGGCTGGCAACCTGGGTCAGTGAAATTCTCATTATTAGTCCTTAAATGTCACTCACTTTGCAATTCTTACTATTACATTTTACACTGTTTCTAATGCTCCATTCTTCAAGTTTGTGTAAATCTTCCTGTATAACATACCAGTCCTGCCCCATCTTGGCAATATTTCTTCATTTTGTGTCACCCACAAATGACATAAGAGCACAACTTCCTTCACCAGTCCTCAGTAGATTAAATTGGATGGCCACAAGATCCTGAAAAATATCACTAGCAACTTCTTTCTAGTATGAGAACTCAACATAACTCTTTGTAATTTCCCTTTTATCCAATTCCATATTTATCCTATGGTTATAGCATTGGTCTTTATTTTCTAGGTTGTCAAATAATTTTCTGCAAGGCACAGAATCAAATGTTTTGCTTAGATCTAGACTGACTAGGTTCATTGTATCACCTGTTGTTCAAGAAGTCATGCTAACCTGTCACAGAAGGATATTAGATTGATCAGACATGATTTTCCTTAGATAAAGCCATGCTGTGCTTTGTCCCATTTTCTGTTTACCACCATATCCTTGATTATTGTTTCAGTATTTCAGTCTCTATTTTAAGACCTAGAATTGCCTAGGTCATTTGTATTTCTTTTTTTTAAACAAATAGGCACTATTTCTGCTATTCTTCAGGTTGCCAGATTCATTGGAGATGTGTGCTAAAGGACTTGCTATTTTGTGCATCAGTGTGCTTACATGGAGATTGTTCATCTCTTCCTCCCTGCCACTTCTAAGTCTTTTCAAGTTTTCATAGTAATCCATCTGAGCTCTGCAATCTGAGGTAAACTTTTACCTCCTCATTGCTATTTGATACTCTATGAGCATCCACAATTAGATCTTCATCCTTACTGAATATTGTAGTAGAGTGTTTATTCAGGACTTGGTTCAAACATAGTATATCCTTACTCTACTCTCTCTTATAATTTCTCACCTCCTATTTCTATTTATATGACTGAAGAATCATTTGCTATGTTTTCACTTCCTTCAAAAGACATACCTACAAACATTACATTCAGACCAATAAAATTGAGCTTACTGTGGTAAAAACCTCTAGCTGTCCAAGCATGCATGTTGTTTAGTTTGGCTTAAACATGTCACATATGGTCCAACATTAACCATATCAAACCTTCCCTCTTCTCCAGAGCAGACCTGAGGTGCCTAGCACAGGGCCTTAGGCATTTAGCGTCACATCAGTCAACTACTGTGAAAATAAAGCTGGCCTAGTCATACTATCCCAGTATCTCCTCAAGGCCATCTGTTGCTGAGAAGAACTAACGACCAATCTTTCTCTTGAAAGTTGGAACAACACTTACCTGCTCAATCCCATCTCCCTGTCCACTGCAGTGAGAACTGTAGGCCTCCCCCTCCAAACTACAGCAAGGGTTATAGACCCCCTGATCCCCTCACTCCTGACCTCCTCTGCAACCTGCTGCCAGTTGCTCCCTGGATGGACCTTAATTACAAGGCAAGTCCAAGCACTTCTGATGTATGTACATGACCCCCAAACTCTGCATGTCCCTCTGTTCAGCAGGAAAAGAATAAGGAAAGACAGGCATTGGATTTGTGTGTGCCATGCTGCACCACACCATGAGGATGGGTGACAGACAGGAAATACAAATCAGGAACATGTGAAAACACAGTGATAGGAACCATTGGCATTGTATTACATCAGAGACCAGAAAGGTTTCCTCCATCCCTC